CACACCAATTCCCTCCCTGCCCCTCCCCCCCCCCCCATCCCAACAGAGATGGGTAAGTTAATTCACAAAGGCGGCTTTGAAAGGAATCTAGCTGTTTCGAGAGCTGCCAGTCCCTCCGTGTTGTGGTTTTTTAAAGGAATGTCTGTCCCTAACCCTCTAATTCTGCTCCCCCTTCTTTCCCGTGGCAGACAACGAGCATGTGTACATGGATCTGTCCCAGAAACTGTACAAGTACTGTCCGAAAGAATGGAAGAAAGAAGCGAGCAAGGTAAAGGGGCCCTTCTGGTCTCGCCTCTGTGGTCCAGGAGGACTAAAAATAAGGGGTCATCAGGGCTGGGGTCTCTCTCTCTCTCTCTCTCTCTCTCTCATCTGCACTCATTGCTCCACTCCTTAAGCACCGTTGAGTGAGGAATTCTCATGACACATTAAGACTCTAGTTTCCGACCTTGTTTCCCCAGATGTTCTTGGACTGCAAGAATTCCTGCTGAATTCTTCACCACTAGAATCTTTCACCACTATCTCTGCTGGCCAGGATTTCTGGGAGTTGTAGTCCAAGAACCTCCAGGGACCCAAGGATGGGGAAGCGCTACTTTAAGAAGTTGTATTTCAGGCACGGTTTTGTGGACCCCGCAGGATTCGGTGTGATGATTTCCCTAAATCAAGTCCTTTGGAGAACCCCAAAGGCTTGAACCAAATACAGCTTGTTCCTCTCAAAGGTACCTCAAGGGACTCTTGGCGGTTTTCAAGCGGCGACAGGCTGACAAACGCTGGAAACCTTCTCTAAGCTCAGGGCGCTAAAACAGCTTCGGGACGGCTTCACGGTCACAGCAGCTCTGCAGCGAAAATCTCGGAGGGAAACAGAGGTGGCTGCAGGGCTCAGACTTCACAGGACTTGATAAAAGGAATGCCCGCGTGGGCCGGCTGTTGATTCCGGTGCTGTGCTTGGGGGGGGGGAGGAATGAGATGTCCAGTCAAAGGCTGGATGCTGGAAATGGGCTTTTTTACGGAGTGGTGCTATACTTAAAAAAATAAATTATTATAATAATAATTATTGTTGTTATGAACACATTTCTTTCATGTTCTTAATAGTTTTTCAGGGCTAGAACTGTTTTGTTGTATTTTATCCTTCTAACTCTGTTTTTGTGTTCACGTGTCTCTGGTCTAAACCTGTTCTTGAGCCAGCTTTAGTCTCAGTCCAGGGAGAATGGGGGGGCTGATTGTGACTGGCCACAAGTCAAATACTACTCTCTCTCTCTCTCTCTCTCTTCCCTAAGCTCAGGGCGCTAAAACAGCTTCGGGACGGCTTCACGGTCACAGCAGCTCTGCAGCAAAAATCTCGGAGGGAAGCAGAGGTGGCTGCAGGGCTCAGACTTCACAGGACTTGATAAAAGGAAAGCCCGCGTGGGCCGGCTGTTGATTCCGGTGCTGTGCTTTGGGGGGGGGGGAGGAATGAGATGTCCAGTCAAAGGCTGGATGCT